GGCGGGGAGGAGGAGGGCGAGGCGGCGCGACGGGCGGCATCCAACCGGAGCTGTACCGGACAGCGCTGAAACGGCTCTCCTTACTGCAATTCCTCTGTTCGTGTAATGTACTGAAAAACGCCATGTAGAGGTTGTAGTACCTATATCGGTACAGATAATCCTTCCAAAGCTGTTCACTGACTTAATGGCAGGAACTGCTCAAATCACATTTGACAGGATTAGCCGAGCGGCCTGTTTTTAAAAAGCCTACTCTGCTGCTGAAATATTTTTCACATTTGTTAGCTCAGCCTTGTAATCAACAGGCAGTTACTGCCGTCCTAAGACCAGTCAGTGAACTTTTTCTGGATTTCTATAAACCTGTTGGCAAATATGAACATGAGATCAAGCCCCCAAAGCAGCTTTGCATATAGCTCTAAGCTATAAACTCATTTTAACAAAGGAAAAGGTGTTGACATTTCATGGGATTGTTACCCAAGATGTGGTAACATCCTTCTAATAAAAAACCCCACTAATTTAATGTACCTCTGTAGCTTTCCCTTTCAAAAGACACCTGGTCTTTTATTGATTCAACTTAGCTAAAGAAATGGTCCTACAACAATGGCATAAATAGATGGTAGCAAGGCCCAAATTGGAGTCCAGATACTTGTTCTCATATGTTTGCAGTGAATGGAAGGTATCTTTTGTATAGTGCTCAATTTTTGATTGACAGTATCTTCTTACAATGAAAACAAAGACTGCTGAGGACTGCAGACGGCATGAAAAAAGTATCACCTGTTGCTGAGTCTGCTGCTCAGGTTGATCAATATATGAGATCTCACAGTTCTTGCAGACAAGCCCTGTGGGCCTGCTGCAGGAAGCAGCTTGGGAGCCACAGGGACACCCAAGGGCTTACACAAAACCACCAGCCAATGTGCTCTAACAGAGGGACTGGCTCGGGCCAGGCATGGGAAGCTGGAGGAGGAGAGGGCTCAACACATTCCAGTCAGTTTTACAGTGTTCTCGGAGAGCCGGGCTCCAAGGTCTCCCTGTCAAAAGCCAGCTATGAAGACACAGGCAACCACCCCAAACCACTGTGTAGAGCAACTGTTTAAGAGATACCGGCTTCTTTCCCAGTCTGACTTCATAGGCAAAAAACAGTTTCTGCTTGACATTATACCCGAAGACAACTCTACCCGCTCACACCGCCCGCAGTGGCAGCTGGCACAAAATGGCGGCCAGGCACCACCGTGAGGCACCATGGGACGCCCCCAGGGGCGGTGGGGACAGCCGGGAGCCCGTCACGTGGGCAGCTCTCCCCGCCGCGGTGCAGGCTGGGAAC